GGTAGTTACTGAGATATTCTCAATTAAAGTTTTAAAAAATGTTAAATTTAGAGGGTACGGTTAATAAATTTGGGGGGGTATAAAAAATAATTCCCTTTAATTTATACATAATATCTTTAATTAATATTTGAATCAATATTAATATAATTATATACTGGTTTTATCTTTTTATTTATCAATTTTAACTATGATATATGTTAAAATTTGATTTATCATGTGATAAAACCCAAATATAGTAATGAAAAATATTATGATGATATCACTACTCTCAACCTTAGTTTGTATATATATATTAATTTATATTCTATGCAACAAAACAAAAAAACAAATTTTTATTAAAAAAATTAAATTTCTTAACTTTAGAATTAGAGCAAGGCTTGGAATTTTAGCAAAAGTATAATTATATACAAAAATTAGTAAGAAATTTTTTTAAATAAATTGCCAAAGTAGTTTCATAAGTAAAATTTTGAGATATTAAAATTTTTATTGTTTTACTAAAAAAATTGTTTTACTATACAAAAAATGATTTATAAGGTAGATATGCCTAATTTGATACAGTTAATTTAGCCTATAGTAAGTTTTTATAAATTTGCTATAAAACTATACAAGTTTTTAAACAAATATATTAAATTTACTCTAAAATAAAGTTTTTTTATTTAAAAAATTTTTTACAAAAAAATATAAAACAATATTTATTTTTTTTTTTAAAGTGTTCTTTAGGATCATGCTTTATTGATAATTAGATTATAAGGAATCCTACAAATAGTATTTACAACAAGGATACTATAAGCTACATATACAACTTTAGATTGTTTATTTAAGTAGTCCACCTGAAGATTCTATACTAGTTGTTATACTTGCTTATCTATTTAAACTTTCTGATCATTAATATTCACCAATTATTTTAAACTAGGTATCTTTATATTGAAGTGCCTTTTACTAATTTAACTGCACTTGGTTATCTGATTGGTTGTCTATAAGTCCCCACAGGTGGGCGTAAGAGCTGCCTCTCTAATCCTTTTATATTCTACACATTTACTGAAATTGGTTTTAAAAAACACTATTTCATCTCTATTAGAGAAATTTAAAATTTTTATATACAAGAGCAAATTTAATTTAGGTAGTTATGTTTTTTATAATTTTGTCTCTTCAAAAAAAGTATCAAAAAATTTTGTCTTTTAAATAAATTAAGTCAAAAACAATTTCATCTCTAAATTTAAATTTTGTACTCAAAAACCTAAAATAATTTATAATTATATAGTAGCTGTAATTAATACTAGTAGTTAGTATTAACTATTAAACTATACAATTTCTAGTTCTTCTATCTTTATAAGGTTTGTTCTAATCCTGATACCTACATCTACCTTTCTTCTAGTCTTTATATCAATCTCTTTCAAACTTCTAATTCAGTTAGCCCAGTTAGGTTGTATAATTAGACTTTAGATGCCTTTGATTTCTTTTCTTTAGTTTTTAATTCTATAATATAAGACTTTTTTTCTCTAATATAACTCTGGTGGCCAGATTAGAAAACCTTTCTTGCTTTAGAATTATTTGTTTGATTCTTCGATTTACAGTTTTCAAACTTTTAACTTTTGCAATATTATCAAAAATCTTTACTATCTCCTTTCTTGAGACTTGTTAAATAGGTTTCAATTATTCTGATTCCTTGGCTTTGTCTGTATAATATTACATAACTTTATCTAAAAGCTCCTATTTAAGATTGTAATATCAAAGCTACAGGTGATATACTTAAATAATTATTAAATTAATATTACCAAAACAAATCTTAATTTTCAAAATCATCGCCAATAGGATTTGAACTTTAGACCTGCTATTTAGAGAATAACAACTTATCAACTACACTATATTATTATACCTTTTGAAACTATATTCTAAATATATATTTTTATAAAAATTGAAATCATTAATAGACTATTTCTAAATTAATATACTATTACAAAACAAGATAAATTTAAATTTTAGACATTGTAATTTATCACTATAGCGATGTGTCGCTACCCCTGATTGACCAATTAGAATGCAAAATCAGGTGTAATGTGAAATCAAAACAAAACATTGAATTTTTTGACAAATTGTTTATAACTCAAGATTTTGTTTATGAAATCATTCTTTATGCTCTAACAAAAAAAATTCTTTGTGCAATTTTACTATAAACTTTATCTTATTGCCTTCACACTATCTTCACCTCACCTAACCCTAACTAATGAAAAAATTGGATTATTTTGGGTTGTTTTTGATTTCATATTACACAGATCCTATAGGTAGTGATATATCGCATATGTGAAAATTTATAAAATCCTTAAATTTTTTCTTAAAATATTTTTTATTTTTGATTTATTGTTTTTTTGCTTCTAACTATTTTCTATCTTTTTTTTTGTCTTTATATTTCTTGTTTACATATTTTCTCAACCTCATATACAATTTATTTTTAGATAGCTGCTTTTTTTTAACACTGCTTCTTATTGGCTACTTTTTAGACATTCTCTTTCATTTTTCTCAACTCCTACAAAGATTTTTTATTAGTAAGTAATTAAGAAAAGAGCATAGTTTTCTTTTTTTTGATAGTTGAAACTAGATTTCTTTTCTCTATTGTTTAGATTTTTAGCTAATTGTATATTATAATATAAAAAATTTGTTTTTTTTTAGTTTTAAGGTGACCTTTTGGTCACTATTTTTTTATTTAATTATTGTTAACTTTTACAGTATGGTATACACCATTTCATATATATATTTAGAGAGTATAACTAGCTATATATGCAACTTTGGTTGCCTATTTAAGTAAACATCTGAAGGTTCTATACTAGCTGCTGTACCTATAACTCTATTGAGTTATCTATTTAAACCCTCTGTGTCTATATATATTAATTCTCTAACTAAGCAAAAATACATTAGTACCTCCTTATTTTTAGATCCCTAGCTAGAGAACCTGGCACATACAAATTTATTTAGCATGCTATATAGCATGCCATTTCTAAAATTTGTGCCAGGTTGTTACCTTAGCATACTACTATTTTGTGTAACATAATTTTTATACTTTACATATATGTATACTAATATAAAAATTATATTTTAATTAAAGTTCTTATCAGTTTGTACTTAAAATTATATATTTATTACTAGGGATGTTAAATATTTAGTATTATTTTACTTGATTTTGAAGTCAAGTTTCAAACTTGAACTCAAGTTAAATATCACATCTTAAGATATGAATTATTAGTTTGATGCAGTTTATATATATATAATTTTATATTTTAGTATAAATTAAGAAAAGTTTTTTTTATATTATTTAAATATTATATAATTATTGGAATCAATTTAAAAAAGCTTGACTTAAACCAATTTAAAAAATAAACTATTTAATATTTTTATTTATTACAACAAAGCTATTAAATTTTATTTATATAATTACAAAATAAATTAAGAAAAATACTTAACATGAACTATAATATCTTAAATATGATATATTCTGTTACTAAAATCTAAGTTAGTATTTAAGTATTATACAAGAAGTATATTTTATATAGAATAATATATACAATATTATATAGTTAATATCTAAGTACTGTATTTTACTTTATAAAGAACTCAGATATTTTATATTCAACTACCAAAATTTTTATAGAAAATACTTTGATATAGAGATATTATAGTCTATACTGTATAGTAATATACTAATATATTAAGCTTATCTCTATTTAATAAAAGTATTTGACTTAATACTATATTTAATAAAAAATATAATTAATTGGTAATTCATCAGTTAACCAAAGAAGATCTGTAAATTTTTATAAATAAATTTTACTATTGAGTCAAATGTGGAGTGTACCAATCTAAAACTTTTTTTTATTAAGTAAATTACTCTTAGGCATCTAATAAAAGTTGTAGAGCTGGGTGTGGCGACTTAGTGTAGTGATGAAGTTGTTATACCCCAAGTGGTGGTGATCAGAGTTCGAATCCCACTAACAGTAAAAATTCGAATTCCAGAATGTATTACAGCAGACTGTAAGTGTAAATAGATGGATTGATATCTGTAATCTGGTTATACCAGCCTGTACTGGGAGGCTATAGAACAATAATATAATATATGAGTTACACAAAATCTGAATAAAGCAGCTGTGTAAATCCAGAGTCAGCGCACATAGGAGCCCACTTGGCAAGATCCGAGTAGAGAGGTAGCACAGACTTTCGATAGTACTATGTAAAGAATTATCAATCAGAAAACCAGAAAACTGAATGGGACCAAAGTATTTGACAAGACACTCCACCAACCTGGCCACTGGAGAGTAATCAGAGGAAAAGTATCCAACCGTGGGGACCAAGAGCAGGTCACAGCCCTTTCGGGCTATCTGGATTGGAAGTTTGGAATGATGGATATACGGTAGATAGTCTGTATAGTGGGTGCTGGGGTTTGGGTGAACTCTATAAGAGCAGTAGTAGGTAACTGTAGGGGCCTCGACTC